TGTGTGCACAACAGTGATTAGCAATATATGACAATGTGTCTCTCGAGTTCTTTTTATAGCTACAACTGTTCTCCTTTCTGAAAGTGATCCAGACCATTGTGATAATCACTTCCTTCTCTTTGCTACCCTTTATGGTAGAAGATATCTGAGAAGATTCTTCGCCTATATGGCTTTTGGGAGAACTTACCCTTTTCTTTCTATTTGAGTGGTTGTGGTAGCAGTTCCAGGTAATACAGTGTTATTGAAATGAGAAAGGCACACAGAGTTAGGCCAGTGAATTTCTTCTGGGGAATTCCTTCTGGAATCAAGAAAGTATAGGGCTCTTTGTGTGGATGCATGGACTACACCTGTCAAACTTGGACCTTGATGTGGGCCAGTGTTCACTTTTGTATTATAAGCAGTAGTTGTCTGGAAAGCAGGACACTGTAGGTGTAGGGAGAACAAAGTAGATGCACAGCCGGAATAGAACAAGAAATCAGAAGTATTTGAGTTCCTGAATTCAAATTTACCTCATATCTGAAGTGACCAAAGGTGTGTATCAGGCGTCCACAAAGTAGGGACCCCAGGCCAGATTTGGCCTGCTGCTTGTTTTTGTAAATAAAAGTTTTATTGGAACACAGCCAAATCCATTTGTTTACCTATGGTTGAGTTGAGTAGTTGGCAGAGTTGAGTTGCAACAGACACCTTAGAGCTTGTAAAGCCTAAAATCTTTACTATCTGGCCCTTTGCAGAAAATGTTTGCTGACCTCTGATATCTATTACCTCATCCTTTAAAAAATAAGTATTTTATAAAATTTATATGTGAGACATATAAATTCATAAACATGTCAAACATAAATGTAAACAATATATATTCATAAATAAATGCCATTTTCATGTGTAGCAGTGCAGAATCAAAAAGATTGTCATGTTAATTATATTTAAATTAAAAAAAAAAAGATTGGAGAGCACTGCTACAGGTGATAGTGAGTCCCCAGAAATATTTGATCAAGGCAAGGGCATAGCCAGATTAGCAGGACAACTCTAGAGTCAACTTGAATGTCTATGCAGAAGCAGGGGGTACGTTAATGAACCTGATGTGAGGGTTTTCCAATTCAGACTGAAAAATTGGGTGGAGAAATAGCAGTGAGGATAGAGGGGAGGGGATTCATGCAAGTGACTCCAGTGTGGCCTTTCACCTGCAGATGACAGACTCCAGGTTTGGGGGAACAGATTGTTTGGCTACAAGAAACCATCAATAATGATTTTCGTGATCATCTCCTCTTGGCCCAGACTCCATTCCAACCAAGTTATTAATACACACATTATTCTTCTTAAAGAAATAGAGAAATGCATTCCAGATTGCCAAAGGAAGGAATTCCCTGTGATTTATAATGAAATGTTCCTAGAACTTTTTTTTTTCCAATCATCCATCTTCAAGAAATACTAAAGACAAATATTTCATGAATCCAGAGGTGCTTCTGGCCAGCATCTGGAGATGATCTTGAGAATACAAATCTGTTATCATTTTTCACCATGGGCTTCAACTGTCAGAACATGTAATAAACACAACCAGCCAGAGGGCTGGAGGGAAGCAAAAAGCGTCCAGTTAACCACTGTAGCAGGAGGCAGCAGAAATGAGGGTGTATTTGCCCATACTTTCCCCATACCCACCTTTTGTAGCTCTGCTGCATCCCTTTTCCTAACAAATTTTAAATGCCAATTAGCGACCGCTCAGTTGCTGATACTTTCCAAGGGTGTAACATCCTATCACATTGTCACATAGATGGATGATGTCATGCATAGAAGAGATGTAGGCTATGAAATCAATCAGACTTGAGTTTGAGTCTTGGTTTTGCCACTTAATATCAGTGACCTTAAAATTTCTTAGCCTTGTTGAACACTATTTCCACATCAGTGAAATGAACTTGCCAATAAAGTGATAATGTAGGTGAAATTGTTAGCACAGCTTTTGGCATAGCCTAAACAAAGAGTTTGTAATTATCAATTCAAAACCATTCTCACATTACCACTACCCATTTACGAGATGGTTAAATGAACGAAGACAGAAAATACCAATTATTGGTAGGAATATGGAGCAACTGGGATTCTCATATGCTGCTAGTTAGAGTGTCAAATGAGCATAAGCTACTTTGCCAGTACCCACCAAGCTGAACGCCATCCACTAGTCAGCAATTCCACTCCTAGGTATGTCCCCAAAGTGAATGCTTTCAGATGTTCACTAAAAACATCAACCAGAATGTTCAAAGCGGCCCTATTCATTATAGTATCCAAATAGAAACTACTTAAATGCTCATCACTACTGTAGCTCAGAGCTCAGAAAAACTTTTCTGTGAAAGGCCAGGTAATCAATATTCAAACTGCAAGGACCAAGAGGCAAAAATTACCTTATAATTACTTTACTTCTCTTTGCAGTGCCCCAGCAACAGTGCAAAGCAATAGAGTGCTGATAAGCTAAGCTTTCTGTTGCAACTGCCTCCCTCCCATTGTAGTGTGAAAGCAGCCATAGGTAATAGAAAAAAGAGTGAGGTGGTGTTGCCCAATAAAATGTTATCTATGTACAAAAATGTAGAAGTGCAGAATCAATAAGATTGTCACGCTAATTATATCTCAATTAAAAAAAAAAGATTGGAGAGCACTGCTACAGGTGATAGTGAGTTCCCAGAAATATTTGATCAAGGCAAGGGCATAGCCAGATTAGCTAAAAATGTAAATTTCATGTAATTTTTATGTGCTGTACAGTATTATTCTTTTCTTTTTTGAATTTTTGTCATACTTATTTTTAAAGTTTTTATAGGAGTATGATTAATATACAATGTTATATTAATTTTAAGTATACAACATATTCATTCAACAATTCTATATCCAGGGGGAGTCCGGGTGGCTCAGTGGTTTAGTGCCGCCTTCAGCCCAGAGCGTGATCCTGGAGACCCGGGATCGAGTCCCACATCAGGCTCCCTGCATGGAGCCTGCTTCTCCCTCTGCCTGTGTCTCTGCCTCTCTATCTCTGTCTCTCATGAATAAATAAATAAAATCTTAAAAAAAAAAAACCAAAAACAATTCTATATCTAGTGCTTCATCATGATAAGCATGATCACCATAGAATGTTATTACAATATTATTGACTATATTTCCTATACTGTACTTTTCATCTCTGTGACTTTTTTATTTTTAAACTGGAAGTTTAATGGAAATCTATATGTCTTAATACCCTTTATTTCAACACCCCCCCCCCCCAACACCTAGCAACCATCAGCTTATTCTCTGTATTTGAGAGTCTGGCTTTTTGTTATTCATTTGTTTTGCTTTTCAGATTCCACATATAAGTGAAATCATATGGTATTTGTCTTTCTCTGACTTATTTCACTTAGCATAACACCCTCTAGGTCCATCCATGTTGTCAATGGCAAGATCTCATTCTTTTTTATGGCTGAGTAACATTCCATTGCATGCACATGTATGTATCACACATCTTCTTCATCCATTCATTATTATGGACACTTGCTTCCATATCTTGGCTATTATAAATAATGCTTTTGGCTTTTTAAAAATGTTCAAGAATAGGGGATCCCTGGGTGTCTCAACAATTTAGCACCTACCTTTGGCCCAGGGCATGATCCTGGAGTCCCGGGATCGAATCCCACGTCGGGCTCCTTGCATGGAGCCTGCTTCTTCCTCTGCCTGTGTCTCTGCCTCTCTCTCTCTCAGTGTCTCCCATGAATAAATAAATAAAATCTTTAAAAAATGTTTAAAAATACACAGACCATTCTTACCTTGCAGGCTGTATAGACATATAGGACATGGGCCAAATTTGAATATAGGTTGCCAACCTCTGGTACAGTTTAAAAATTATGTATTCACACAGTGGAATACTACACAACAACAGGTAGATACAACAATATAGATGAATCTCATGAACATAATATCAAGTGAAAGAAGCCAGTTGCAGAAAGTATAGGATTACATTTATATAAATTACAAAAGCAGGTGAAACAAATCTATGATTATGTAAATCTGCATGGTGGTTACTGTATGCGAATTAGGGACAGGAGACAGAGCAAAGGAGATTTGGGAATGAATAGTTATGGGTGTTTTTTCATTTAGTTTGTTTAAGTTTACAAAATCTAACCAGCCACACACTTCTGTGCACTTTTTTGTATGTATATCATACTTTAAGAAACACTGGGGGAAGAAAAGAAACAAAGTCTCTTCTTTAGCGCAAGCCTCCTTTATTTCACAACCAACCAATTTACAAGTTTCTAGGTGTTCTTCCCCACTTTAGTTACCTTATTTATTACTCCAGAGAATTTGAAGTATCTATCCTTTTCTTTAGCAGAAAGAACAGCTAGGGTATAGACAAGAGCTCTGTACTTAGAAATGAAGATCAGAGTTTAACTCCACTGTGTACTGATTGTGTAACTATGGGTAAAGCACCTAGTTTTTTTAATTTTTATTTTGTTGTCTGAAAAATGGGAAAATAATTCTGTATATGTGCATTTGGTGTAAAATGCACCTTGATAATGAAGAATTGCTCTGTTTACCCGTATACCTCTGTACAAATTATCACTACCTATGACATACTTTCTTAACAACTCACAATTTCAAGTTTAAACACATCCACCCCCTTCCTTCTTTGCCTCCTGGTCCTCCACTTAGGGAGACAGTACTTAAAATGGTGAGGAACATAGACTGTCAGCTCAAATCGTGACTCTGTCACATGTCTTATAGTTTCTCTGTGCCTCAGTTTCCTCATTGGTAAAATATCTACTTTATATTATTGTTCTAGAGGTTGTGGCAGTCAGCCTCCAAGATATTCTGGACGACCCCTGTCTCCTGGCCTGGTGTCCATGCCCTGGTGTAATGCTTCCTGCATTATATGAGGTTTGGGCTGTGTGGTGATAAGATATGGCATAAAGGAAGGCAATTCGCCTCTGAGATTAGGGTTTGAAAGGCAGTGGCTTCCACATTTGGCAACCTCTCTGTCTTGGATCTGCTGCCAGGTCAGACAACCTTATGGAAAGGCCTTCATGGTGAGGAACTGAGGCCTGACAAGAACCACAGGAATGATCTTGGATGTGGATCCTCCAGCCCCAGGTGAGTTTCAAATTGACTACAACCCTGGCTATCAGCTTCTCTGCAATCTCACAAAAGACTCGGAGTCAAAATGATTCAGCAAGCTGCTTCCAGATTCTTGAACCTCAGAAACTGATAATCAGTGACCTTACAACAGTGAATGGTGCCTGATGCATAGTAAGCATGCAATAAATTGTCTTCGGATGTCTGGGTGGCTCAGAGGTTGAGTCTGCCTTTGGCTCTGGGTGTGATCTCTGGCCCCGGGATTGAGTCTCACATTGGGCTCCTTGAGGCAAGCCTGCTTCTCCCTCTGCCTGTGTCTTTGCCTCTCTCTCTCTCTCTCTCTCTCTCTCTGTGTGTGTGTGTGTGTGTGTCTCATGAATAAATAAATAAGGTCCTTTAAAAAATATATATTAACTGTATTTATCATCTGCTCCCTAAAAGCTGGCACTTCCACATCTATCAAGCTCTTTGCTGATGTCAGTGCTTCCTGTTCTGGAAAGTCATTGTCAATGGATCGAGCATGGGCAGTTTCCTTTCCTTTCTGTAGTCCCTTTAAAGACCAAGCATTATTAGGAGGCATCTGTCTGCAGAGCAGTGACAGTGTGGCTGTGGGTTCCTATGGAAACACTTCCTCACCCAGCACTCTTTCTCAAGGGATCTCTCCAGGCTCTGCCTCTCAAAGCCTTGGTGCTGCCTTCTGGTCTTTGTGGCACATCCTATTCTTCAGGTGTCTTTCCTGCTTTCTCAATCTCCTCAGATGTGTTGGTGATTCAGATTCTCCTTCTTTTGGATGTGAATTCTTGTTCCCTTTTGCCATAGGCACCATAGTTGCAGGGTCAGCGATTGAGTCAATTAGTGTTTCTAGAAGTATAGGTGGAGACAGGTTAGGAGTGTAAGAGATTTATTGGGGGTTGGTGTCTGTGAGAGGTAATAGGAAGAGAAGCAGGGGCAGGTAGGGAAAGTCTCAGCCTGTGATGTAGACCTGACACCTGGGAAAGGAAAGGAGGTAAGAAGAAAGACTAGGGCAGGAGAACTGCAGATCAGGTCTGAAAAGTCAGGTGTCCAACAGCTGTAGGGCAAAAAGCCTGAAAGAGGAGTCCCAATCCAGGCTGAAATGGAGAGGCTTAGATACATTTTCCATGCTCAGTCAGCAGTGAGGGCTCCCTGGGAATGCTAGGGCTTTGACTTAAAAGCTAAGATGGATCCTAAAGTTGCTAATGGCTAGAGGCTGTCAACTTATTGTTCCTGACAGCTAAATGGCAGATTCTTTCTTGACAGGAGGTCCAAGTGGTGCACTTACATGGCTGCTGCAACCATCTTCATCGCTGTGGCCAGGCCTGGCCTCCTGTGTCCCCTACCTGTGTCAAACACCTGCTTGGAAATGGTATCAACAGGACCTAAATGGAGTGTCAGTGTGAAAAACCAAGGGACTCATAGAGGTGAAATGAGAATTAGTTATCTCTCAGGCAACCTGAGGGGACCCAATGGGGTTTGATAGTAATCAATCATGGTTTTTCACTCAGCATATACTGAAAGCTCTGTACTGTGCAGGCATTTCCTGGAGGAATCCCAAACTATAGGATTGTAAAATGGGAAGATACATGAGTGCCCAATTAAGTCTCCCTTTCATGAGCAGAAATGCCTTGTAGAGTACTCCATATAGGTTCACTCTCCTCTTGCGTATCTCCAGTGATGGTGAGCTGAAGTCATCTCTTTGGTTGTGAACAGCTCTACTTGACAGAAGCTTCCCCTTCAGTGGAATTCAGAATGCTCTCACCACCTTTAATTTTTGAAGTCACTTTAATAAAACTTCCTGTTCTCTTGTTTATTAATCCTATAGATATTTGGAGATGATTGTCATTGTTCCTGAAATACTATAAGAGAAGAGAGGCTACTGGAGCCTCTGATTCCTCAACTTTACAACAATGGTGTCTGACTGTTCTTGATCACTGTGGTCTCTTTATGACCTAAAAGTCTATGAAGCCATGAAAACTTCATGGAACAATTCTCAAATAAAAGAGAAATCCATATAAATTAAAAGACGATGTGCTTTTTTTGAAGTGTTTGTTGTACATTTCCTCTGGAGCACATTGGGACTCAGGAATAGTGGGACCATCCGCCGAGCCATTGCTCATTTATGTTGAAATAAAACAGGCTCTGGCTAATTAGAAGCATGCTCCTCGAGATGAAACAATACAAGCTTTCCATTTCCCCACCATTAGCAATTCCTGATGTTGACTGGCCATGTTAATATAACCCCCACTCTACAACAGGAAAAAAAAAATAAAGCAGGAATGATGATTCACAGCACAAGAAAGAGTTCTTTATACTTACACTCAACCAGCACACACTAATGCTCTAGGTACTCACTATGCACTGGCCTCTATGATAGGTATTTTCACATATATTATTAACTTTATTTTATCCTCACAAGAATATTATGAGGTAGATTTTATTAGCTGCACATTTCAAATGAAGAAATATGAGCCTCAGAGCAATCAGGTGATTTGTTCAAGGTTACCTAGCTGATAAGTGGATAAACTAGAACTGTCTGCTACGAAGTCCAGTGCTCTGTTCACTCCACTGGCTACAAGGAAACTTATTAATAAAAAACCATGCCTATGTATGTAGTATGCAACTATTTTAATTCCGGTTGCCCCAGAGGTATACTCTGAAGTTAAGGTTAAGGTGAAAGTAGTTTATTATCAGAGGATAAAGAAGTATCAAAAGAGGATGGTAAAGTGAGTCAAAGAAAAGGTAGCCAATAAATTATGCATCATCAAACCAGGTATCATTGTGGGCAATTGGAACTAAATTCTGCTGGGGAAATTCTGAGAGTCAGTGCAGAATACAGTAAATCTACCCAAAAGGGATGGGGCTAGGGCTTTTATAAACCAACTCTGTCAGTCATTGGTTGAGATCTTCTTCTAGCAGATATTAATTACCTGGCACTAACTACCTGCCAAGTAGGTAGACAAAACATGTTTTAGAAGCCTGAGAGAGACCTTACACAGAGAAATTTGGCATCTGGCAATTAGAGTTTTAGTTGGTATGCACTGAAGTAAAGGCAAGAGGATATGGCACCTGGTACAATAAGTAATGCCAGATTCTACACAATCTGTCAACAAACATATCTTGACCACCTACTGTGTGGAATAGCACAGGGTGAACCACACGGATATGGACATGCTTTCATGTGGCTTAGTATCAGAAGGAAGGCAGAAATATGTTATTTTAAATAAATATAAAATAATTAAAATGTACTTTCATGGGTAGGAGAAGCTATAAACCCCACTTAGCTAAGTCTTACTACAAAAAAAAAAAAAAAAAAAAACTAGAAAGAACCCACAATAAAAACCCTCTCATTCATTGTTACTCTTTGTCTCCTTTTACCTCTGACTCCTATCTTTTCTCCTTTTTGGAGCCAAATTTCCTAAAACAGTGAGTTTAGAATCTGCCTTCTCCAATGAACTATGAGACCCTCTGGGGATGGGCCTTTTTTTGTTTGTTTGTTATCTTTAATTGTATTGTGTAGTATTTGACACATAAAAAAAGAACATATGGATTTGAACACCAGCCAAGATGGAGTAAGATCACTCCAGTCTATCTTTCTCACTGATTATTTTGTCATAAAAACTTATGACAAAATACAAAAGAATACAATTAAAAAAAATTTTTTTGGAAAGATTTATTTATTCATGACAGACACAGAGAGAGAGGCAGAGGGAGAAGCAGGCTCCATGCAGGGAGCCTGATGTGGACTCAATCCCGGGTCTCCAGGATCACGGCCTGGGCTGCAGGCGGCACTAAACCACTGGGCCACTGGAGCTGCCCAATAATACAATTTAAGGACTCCAAACACTAACAACAACAGGCAGATTGAGAGGGAAGTCTTTTGTTGAATAATGATGCATAATTGAGATGAGTTTCAGAGTCTTTTTTCCCTGGTTTCTCCCAGATTTGACCTAAAGGTAGACAGAGTCCTATACTGCAGAGAGGGGACATATAACAAAATTTGGAAAAAATTCCTCTGTGTTATAGCCTGAGGACTGAGAACAGGAGCCTCTTATTACCTGGAGAGTATAGGAGGATATTCTTGCTTTTTTGAGGTGGGGCTTCTCCTTGTCCTTCCCTGGTGCCAGCCCCATGACAGGGTGGTCATGGTGAGGACTTCTAAGTCCACTAGGGATAAACTGTCTTTCTGGCCAAAGAAACTTGAAAAAGAATTCTCTCTCAAAGAACAGAGAAAATCCGTTTTTTACCCTCTTCTTTCCTTAAGGCACTTTGTCTTGAGGGTAGGCACATGTCCATGGACTTTCTCAATAGCACAAGAAGAACTCTGATTTTTTAGCCAGAGGACTCAGAAAGGGAACCCTCTGGTTTCCATAGAAAACAAAGAGTGTGTGGGAAATCATGGTGGAAGAGTTCTGGAAAAGAGGATCCCTGAGTCTGTGTATAAAGTGACACACATCCTTAACTCACCAAACTGAAATGTATGGAATAGACCAATGAAGCATAGTGAAGGCTTTGAAAAACAGAACTGACATTGGAACCACCACTCACAGAAGGTGAGCTAGAACTCTTTGTCTGACCTAACTGATCACCTGTTAATACAACAAATCAACATTTTATAGTATTTTATTTTAGTAAGACCTAGAGCTTCACAACAAAACATTCAAAATGTTCTGGATTTAATCCAAAGTTACATGTAAAGGACCAGGAAATTCTGGCCCACTTTTAAGGGAAAAGACAATAAATATCAACCTGGAGATAACCCAGATATTGGAATTATCAGACATAGACTTTAAATCAGCTCTTAGAATTATTCTCCATGAAGAAAAGTGTATACATTTGAACTAAGTGGTAAGGTAGAAGCTTTTAGAAAACAAATAGAAATATAATCAAGAAGCAAATCAAACTGGAAGAAATAGAAAATCTGAACAGACCCATAACCAGCAAAGAAATGGAATCAATAGTCAAAAATCTCCCAACAAAAT